ACAGCGTATGGTTTACATAAATGTATATTTAAAATTTCAAGTCTCTAGCTTACAGAAGGACATAGCTCAGCTTGTCGTCCTGATCAACATTGTCCGTATATGTTTATGGGTTGTGGCACGCCTCATTCTGCCTGTTATACCAATACCTCTGAATTTCAACTTTCAATGGGCTCTAATAATCGACATTTAAAATGGAATTTGTCAATCAAGAATCAACAAGAAAATATACTAATTAACTAGATTCTGTTGAAGTAAGAACAGATTATGAATATTGAGTTTTTACAAAATTTATAGTAACTTCATAAATTTAAATTTTAAATGTCTAATTAAAAAGATAAATTGCTAGCGTGGATCTTATATATAAGCAACAACATGACATATATCTTGAACACTTCAAGCATTTTTATTAGTTATAATCATATTTCAGGCATTGACACAGCTCCAAACTTATAAAATATATTGCAATTTGAACCCGGATTTAACTAGACAATATAACTCAGCTGTTATTTAATGCGATGAACTATAAGAAATCGAGAAGTCCAATTATTTCCATCGATAATTCTCTATTTCTCTATCTGTAACATTTTCCCTCTTAAATAGTCTTTAGTTGCCCATGCTTGAAGCTTTGCATATTATATAAAATATTTGTTAAAAGTAAATATATATATATATAAATATTTATGTATACTAATGCAAGTTGTATCTCAAGTTCTATTTTGGTGTTTACTCAACGTAAAATTCTGTTTTATATGAATAAGTTGAAAATGGTCTTAATTTATTTTATGAATGTCAATTAAATGAAAGCTAAATACATTTAATGAAATTCAATTTACAAATATATTTTTGATCGTTTATTAGCTTCGCAGTGCCAATTAGTTACAAACTTGGCAGATGCATTGCAAACAGTTTTTGTGTACTTTTGGCCAATTTGCCAATAACGAAATAATTAAAACAATTAAAATTTCATTTTCAACTATTTCTGCTGCACATTTCCGGCTCACCAGATGTCATTTGCACTTGGCCACTTGGCCACTTGGCCATGTCGACGTCGACTCTGGCTGGTCAAAGGAATTACAGCGATTTAATTTAAAAGTTAACACACTCTGCATGCTTGAGGACGGCTAGGGTGTAGGAGGTGGGGGTGAAGCTGACTGCTGGCAACATGCAGTAAATTAAATTTTTAACTTAATATATAGAAAACGTTTCTCATTGCCCCGGCTGAGATTTTGATTGCCGGAGAGTTGCTGCCTGCCAAATTGGCAAGTATTTCGGCATTTTGTTTCATTTTACTTTTAGTCGCAGCTAACGCTAAAAGGTAAAAAAGCATTTTCAGCTAGCTGCTTGTTGTTTCTGTGTTCACGGCAAACTTTTGAGCGCACATTAATTAGAAGCTGCCACGCTTGGCAGACACCCGCTCACTCGCCAGAAAGTTGCCAGCGCCTGCCCCGAAAAGTGCAACATGTTCGTGTGAAGTTTTGGTTTGAGTTGCTTTCGCAGTTTGAATTGAAGTTTTTATTTTCACTCCATATAGGGTATACACCCATTGTGATGCCATTCAGCTGCGGTTTTATTAGTCACGTGTGTGCAGGCGACCTTCGGCATCAATTGTCGTGCCCCGCAGACTATTCAGACTATTCAGCTAGCATGTCGTAACAGCAATGACAACTCACCCAATACAAGTTCGATAAGTGTTAAGTTTTAGCTCAGCTCAAGACATAGATTGAAGCTAACTTTAGCTGCCTTCACCAAAAGGTAGCACATTAGAGGCTTAAAGAGGCTCTGCGGGGTACAGGGTATTTCCCAGTCAGGCACTGCCCCCTGAGCGTCGTTTCGGCAAATGTTCGGCTAGATGCTTTTAATTAAGGCACCCGACAGCGTCATGGCCCATGCATTTTGGCTAAGCAGCTGCTACTATGCAAGCGAGCAGGAGTCTGGGCCGTGGCGGTGTGACGCCGTGGCGCTAGCTGCGTTATGCTGGCACTTGCCGCTGGGCGTCTGCTTCAGCGGTGGCAACAAGGTGTTAACATTTTAAAGTTGCCTTTAATTTTGTTAAAAGCGTAGACAAACATATGCCCGCAGAGAAGATAGCGCATGGCGCTTGGCGCTTGGCGCTTGGCGCTTGGCGGATGGTGGGGCCCGATGAACAACTGTTATAAATAACGCAATCTTCACGCACGTAATTCAAATGGCAACTAATGGGCGCTGTTGAGCACTGCGTCGCGTCTCATTTAGCGCACGTATCCAAATAATGACCCAAAATGATGGCGTTTAATTCAAATGAAGCGTCTGCGCTGATGACCAACATTGCGCTTATAAAAAACACATGTATTTAAGCCTCAGCCATGTAGTCGACTAGGCAATACCCTGTTTAGTAGTAAGTAAACCAGCATGTGCCTTGCTTAAGTAGGGATGGGTATAGGCTAGGCATTGAGATGCCAGGAAAAGATTGATAAAAAAAACTTTTTTTTATTAGTGACTTTAAAGTATTTTTATTTTTTTTATATTTTAGTATTTTATTAATATATGAGAATAGAAAATTTGTAGCATATATCATATTGCTTCTCCATCTGTTATGGGTAAAAGTAAATTTATTTAAATCTTTAAAGAAAGTGAAATATAATGTCACTAACTTTAGTTATAGATTTTTTAGTTTAGTTTAGCTTAGACTCTGAGATCTTAACGAGTGAGTGGGCATGTAAGCCAGTATATATATCTTGAGTCCAGACCAATTTATTCCTTATTCTACTCTACTGTAGCCCGATAGCTCGATGCGAGATGGTTTGGACTGTCTGCACATCTGAAACTATATCCTTAGGGTACAGAAGGGATGGACTTCAGAGTTAAAGTCCCAGTCTAAGTCTACAACAAACTCGAGTTGAAGTCTAAATTATCAATCAAATGCCAAGCATATATATATATATATATACACCTTGCTCTTCCCGCTCTATAGGGTATATGAAACTGCGTGAGTTTTGTAAATAAAATAAAATGAAATGAAATGTTTTATCAACGTGCCAAGCGCACTAAACAGCATCACTGTCTGAATGATGGTCCTTTGACCACGTGAATGCTCTCGGGGGGAGGGGGCGCTTGGACAAATAGACGGGGTTGCAGCGGTTCGGGCTACGCTTATTATCGCCGTGCCCCCATGTGATATTTGTTGTTGTAATTGTTTTGTTGTCGTAAATGCGAAGATAGATTGCAATTGCCGCAGGCCATTACCAATGGAAATTACGCTGGATAGCCGAAAACAAATACGAGCTCGCATAGAACAGACTCTGTGGACTGTGGACACTGGCGCAGCACCCGTTTCAAAATGCTTGTCATTAAATTAAAAATAAACGACAATATTTTATGCGCCTATAAATATGCAATGCACAAAATGTTGCCTCGCCACACGGAAAGTGAGCAGCTGCTATTTTATTCTTTGTTGCTATCTTGTTGTTGCCGTTCTTGTTGTTGTTGTTGTAGTTTGTTTGAATTGTTGTTTTTATGTCTTCTTTATGTAAGGCATCGTTAGAGTTAAAGTTTGCTGCCCGCATCTGCCTCGGACACAGGTGTGACCACAGCAGAGATTGAGCACCACAGAAAAATTGAATCTGTGTCTCTCTGTGTTTGTCTGTGTGTGTGAGTGTCCTGTCTGCTCTACCATAAGCCATAAATTGTAAAAACAAAAAACCTAGATCTATTTCCTAATCTCTCGATTATAATAAAATATTTATTATAAAATTCACTCACACAGTATAAAAGGTTTGGCAAAAGTTCTTTGGCCATCAATTTATTTTGAGTATTTAAATGATATGTAATACCTTTGTCTACGCTGGAGTTGATCATAGTTAAGATTTATGGGCTTCAAATAAATTTTAGTTTATTTGAAACTTCATTGAAACGATTTGATATGCATATGTCGTAGACTGAGTCAGTTGGGCCACCTTCCATGCTCGTTTACACTTTTGCAACCAGGCCAAATAGCCAGCTCACTTGGCAACACTCCGGACTACGTAGCAACAGCACTGATTGTCTCACACTCAATTTGAGGATACAACTCCAAATTGAGGAGTAACAGCCAAGACGCCAACTCACTCGGATAATATTTTCACAGCAACTTTGTACAACTCTCAGCCTGGCGTCAATAGTGCTGCAATCATAACAGGTAAACACGAATTGGACTAGTTAGAAAACACACTTTGCTTTTGAATTACCAGTATCACGTCCTACTATATCAGCCATAGTCAAATCATCATCATCAAATGGTGAATTCTGTTTGTAGTTCAGCTTTAAAGCATCAGCTTAAGTTTTAATTTTGCTTTCCTTCTGATAGAGGCGCAAAATAGATGAACTTTCTTTTAATATTTTTAGAGAATGAGAGTGATTTACCTATGTGCATTTGCGCAAGTCTCCAGTATTTAATAAAGGTAATTTGTGGAGTCACGATGAAGTAGGCATCCAAAATCTAAGTCTGCGTATTCATGAAAGGTAAATTGAATCTTGTAAAAACGAAGTCAAATGATCGATTCTTATCGATAATTTGTACTGCGCAGGGTATACAGATATGTACACATAATATTTCAAGCCATTAACTTCACTTCATTCACACGAACGGACAGATGCAGTTGCCTAGATCGAGTCAGCTCAAGAATATATGTGCTTTGTGGGCTGTGCCACGCCTGCTTCTGCCCATTGCAATGGGATCAAACTGAACGAAAATTACAAAAAAATTCTTCAACATTTTATTTAGCTTTTTTTCTGAGGTATTACTTGATAATCTTCTGTAGACTTAATTAAATTTAGTGTAATATCATAAAATGAATTGAAATAGAAAAATGGCTTATTTAACTTATTTAGGAACTCCCTACTTGCAAAAATGAATATATATATATATATATATATATATATATATATATATATATATATATATATATATATATATATATATATATATATATATAAACTTATGTATATATGCATTAGAAAACTTTATTTACCAATATACAGGTGGGCAAGAGCTCAAAGTCTTCTCATTTTACAAGCTTAGACTTACTGAATAGCTTAGGTTTTAGCCTTTAGAATACGATGCGACGATACTCTAGCGTCTGAAGGACATGTTTTAAGTACTTAGGTTGAAGTTCGTGTCTTTTCATAAGCTGGCTCCGCGGATATCTCGAGCTTGGCGTCTTCAAAGTCGCTCCCCGCCTCGCTCATGGCATCGTTGTCGTTCCAGGGTTGCGTCTCGGCGGTGCCCCAAATCAGGTAGACGATATTGCCACTGAATAGCATCAGGGCAGCGATGCTGAAGACAACCTGCCACTCGCTGCGCTCTGTTGGATGGGTCACCAGCACGCCCACCACAAGGGGCGTGAGCATGGCCACCAAGTTGGTGAAGGTGCTCAGGATGCCGGACAATATGCTGGCGTGAACGGGCGACAGGTCAATTGTGTTCAGCTCGCTGCCAATGGTCGCCGCACTGCTGACGCCAACGCTGAGCGTGACCAGTGCCAGGGCTAGCGGCTTCTGTGTGGCGTCCACAAAGCCCAGGGCCAGCATAATGGCAGCTGGTGTCCACAGCGCAATGCTGTTGTAGGTCTTACGCAGCGCCGTCAGACTGAGGCTGCGTCGCTGCAGCAACACGTCCGCAATGATCAGATAGACGTAGCACATGGCCCACATCAGCAGGAAGGGCAGCGCCGAGAAGAACGCATTGCTGTGCATCTGCAGGCCCAGCACACCGTTCAGATAGGCTGGCAGCTCCGCCTGCATGGTCGCCAGGCCCCACGTGTCCGCGCAGCGGGCGCAGAGCAGCGCATAGAATGGCGCCGATGTGAATATGCCGCGCCAGGGAATGGCCATTTTGCGCTCGCGCCTTACGCTGCGCTGCAGGTCGCCCACGATGTAACGCTGCTCCGCTCGGCCAATGCAACGCGCCTCGCTGGCGCGATTGGCGCCAAGCAGCAGCCACAGCATGCACCAGGCCATACCCACGGCGGCCGATGCATAGCTGATGCCGGGCCAGCCCCAGCTGGAGCTGGCCAACATGCCGGCTGCATACATGGCCAGCACGTTGCCGCAGTCGAAGCCCGTGTAGGCGAAGGCGCCCAAGCGCGTGCGCTCCACCGCTGGCGCCCAGTTGGCCAGGTGCTGATGGATGCAGGGCAGCGTCAGGCCCTGGCACAGACCCTGCAGCAGGCGTATGGTGCAGTAGGCCCGCCACCCGGCCATATAGATGCCCTGCGGCGTCAGGGCGCTCAGCAATGCCGATCCAAAGCTGCCCAAAAACAGCACCGACTTGGCGCCAAATCGCTTGCATAGATAGCCGCCGGCAAATTGGGTCAGCGCTGAGCCCCAGTAGAAGCTGGACAAGACGTAGGATTTCTCCGGCTCTGTCCAGTTGTAGTGCTGCAAGTGTAGATATACAGTTGTTAACTTTTGGCAGGGCATAGGGGGCGTGGCACTGTGCACTTACCGGCAGATCGGTATTAACGGACGTAGCATTTGTCATGGCCACCACGGCCACGCCCACGTTGAACTGCAGCGTGGTATTGACGACCAGGCCCAGGAACAGCAGCAAAGCCTGCAGATGACGCAGCCCAAGGCGTGGCACTAAAATGCAAATGAGACACTGAAATACAGGCTGTCCACTTCATCCGTTTCATGCAACACCCACCTTTCGCCAGGTCCACATCTGTCTCAGTCATGCTGCTTGACAGGCTGCGTTGTTGGTGTGGCCCTTGGGCTTTGGCTAGAAAAAGAATTTGTAAACTGGGCAAAAGTATAGAATGGAATCCGCTCAGATACAGGTGTAACTTTCGTTAGGTCTTCTTAACTTGGCTATAATATAATAAGAGTTAACTGGCATTAAAAATGTGGTCTTTTTCACAGAGACGAGCTCTAGTCGGGAGTGCGCGACTGGCAGATACCCGAAGCCATTTCTAAGAGCCTTAACAGTGCTCAATCTCATCTGCGATATACCAAATTGTATTTTAAATTGGACTTAGTCATAGTTAGAGAAAAGAATAGACATAGCTGGAGATCGGAGACAGACTGCTTGACGGTCGGTTGGACAAACGAACGGAACTGATGACTAAATACCCTGAAGCAAATTATATCTAAAAAATGAAGAGCATTTAGAAAAATTTAAATTGAGTTGACAAAGTTTAAAAAATCATTGTCATAAATAATTCATATGCGCCATACAATACCCAACTCATTAGTGGTCCAATTATCGGGTAATAATTGATATATTTTACTACATATATATATATATATATTTATAGAGTAATAAATTTTGATGGTCTCGCGATCATTTTACGGCTTGCTTAATATTCACGCAAAATAAACTCGTTTTAGGTCTACAAATAATGCTTTTTTTATTTAACTTGTCATGGTTTGTTTGCTGAAATGATTTATTTTTAAATTTAAATCTATAAAAAATCAAAAAGTTTGTCAATTATTTTATTGTTCAATTTTTATTTTTAGGCAAAAATAAAAACAAAATCTTTTAAGTGAATCGATAGGGAAAATTCTGACAATAATCTTGATTTATTTAAATTAATCAAATTACATTAATCAAATAAAAATATATTATATCAAGAAATTGATCGTTGTATTATTATAAGTAATAAAATTCAAGGTTTCGTGTAAATTTCGTAATGAAAGTATAGACTAGACTTTTCCGAGTGTGGACAAGGCAACACCAAAAGTAATTTAATCTAATTTTCTAAAGATCTTTATTTAAGTCTGAAAGGAGAATGAGAGAGAGACAGGGAGTGTGGAATAGGGGTGTGTTCAGTAAGGTCAAGATACCGAAACTTATATTTATATCAAATAAAACTTAACTGTACAAATCTCTAATATATTGGAAATTTAATTAGTTTCTTCCACTCTTAGTTTGAAAATGTTCAAAAATTCGAATTTTTGTATACGGCCTTAGCACGTATATAAAGTGTGCCATCATTTTTGATCCCTGAAACTAATTGGTTTGAATTTAAATAATATCATATAAATATTCTATTTTTAAGCAAAAAAAAGATAAAATAGAATGGAAATATTTTTCTTCTGTAAATAAATTCTTGAAATGAAAGAAAAACTAAAAATGTAGAAACTTTATTGTTGAGCGTGAATAGAGAAGCAAATCAAATGGACTTTAATATAAATAGATAATATATACACACATATATATATACATATATATATATATATACCATCACATTCCCATGAATTATAAGAGGAAGAATACTCGCATTAAATGCAATTACTGGACACGCTGTAAGTTGCAAGTTGCTTTTGCAACATTTGTTTACGGCAGAGGAAGTGAGATTGAAAATGGAAACTCGCACAGGGAATTAGTGGAGGCATAAACTTTATTTGTTTGTTTATGCCTAGCATTGTTTTCGTGAATTGTGCTGTGTTTTGTCGGGTTCTTTGGCTGTGCTCAAAAATGTTGGTCGACAATATCAATGGGAAACATGCATGAGCTTCACAAGCGACAGTAGCCGACTGCCTAATACTGGCTCGCGCAACATAAGCAACTCAAAGCAGTTAGGGAATGCTTGAGGTCTACTCTGGGTGGCTAGTTAAGAAGTCGATTATGTTGTAAAATATGTAGATGTGGTCGTCTTAAGAGACGATTATGTTACAAGAGCAAAACGTATTTTGCAAGAAGCCAATATACTCATCTTGAGCTTGTGAACGAGCAGACAAAATAATACAAATGCCTCTGTATACACAGTTGTATCTGTGCTGCTAACAAGATACTTTTAGTGGCATTGACAGTCGGACACACGCACACACACACCCGCACACACACATGCACGCATACAGAAATTTGCAATCCAAACTATGCGTCTGTGCCTTTTCAGTGCCAGCCATCTCTGTTTCGCAATGTTGCTGTTGATTTCGCATGCTTTTTCAATTGTTCTGAAAGCTGTCAATACACATCGGACAGCGTGCTTTAGGGGGCGTTGGGGGTGTCGTCGCTGATCTGGCGCTTACAGCCTACTCTAATGCAGCTATAAAGCAAACAGTAAAAAAAAAACAACAACAAGCGAGATGCAGCGGCTGCAGCATACATATTTTTGGGTCTCATGCAAATATTTGCACATTCGAATTTTTGTTTACATTTTAGTGCAAATTTTGCAAATTACTTGCTTGACAGTCTGGCACCTCCACCCCCACCCACACCCACACCTGAGCGGCATATCATGCACTCACTATGTGTGTTAATATACATATATATACTTATATATATATTTATATATTATTTTCCTTTTCCTTTTTGTTTTTGTTCTTGTTTTACATTTAATGTAAGTAAATTTGTGACATGTGCCGCGCATTGGCACAGAGGCGGCGCCAAGGGGGTTTGAGTCAGTTATGCATTGGTGCCAGGCATTATTCGATATATATATTATCGCTAAGAACTTAACGTTTGTGGTATTTAACAATGGCTCTATTAGAGGCGTACCCTCTTTGGCTACGCCTCTGGGCACTGGGTATATTAATGTCTAGCATTCGGTTTGCTTTTATTAAAATCAAATAGGCAACACACATATCTGACACACTCACACCCACACACACACACACATTCACACGCATGGCAATACTGCATGCAAATACATTTATTCATTTTGTGTTATTTTAATTTAAAATATCTGCCGATTTATTGTGAGAATTTTATAAAGCTTTTAGGTCGCGGCGCAGCTACAACAATTGAAATACTATATTTATACACATATGCATACATGCAGACATGGTTGTATTGAAAAAACAACAATATTTTGCCAAATTAATGATGAAAGAAGCGAAGCTTAACTGAAAACTCTTCGAGTGTATGGGATTCTTATTGGTGTTGGCATGTGGCAATAGTTACCCGAATTTCCAATTGGACTTTGGACTTTTGCTTACACGTCCATTTTTGGGCTATGCTCTTCGCACAGTGTATTCTATTAATAACCAATTTTAGTACTCTTTACAAATTTGTTATTTTTTGTCCGATTTCGTTTTTCGCTTTTTTTCGATTTTTCTTAGTTTTTGTTCCGTTTAATCGTTTAGCGCGTCCGTCAACTGTGCTTTGTTTATGCAAATAACTTTTAGACGCTCGCTGCCAGCCAATTCAAATCTCGCTTAATAACGTTCTATCCCCGCAGTCTGTTTTGCTCTGCTCCTAATGTAAACTACGAATGGAATGGAAATGTTTGTGGAAGTCTGAATAAGTGCAGATTAGGTAGTTCGGCTTAAGTGCGTTTTGTTCTCGTTAGTGAACGTGTTTAGTGCGTTCATTTAATGCTTCAATCAATTCATATCATTTATCCCTAGTTCTAATTGGAATTAATTGATCGTTTTTACCATCATGATAAAATTGTCCAAAATCCACATTTTATTTCCCTCGTTTGCCATGTTTTAAAAATGAACGATGAGTGTGCACACTGTCAAGAACTGGCTGATATAGCAACTTCTGCTGAACAGCTGATCGTTTCCGATTTCTGTGTAACGTCTGTTAACTAACAGGCTTCTGAAAATCAACAGGTTGCAGTCGATTTCGATAAAAAATGAATACTTTTATGCACAACACTGAGTATTTTGTTATCTTAGGTGTGCTAATGCACATATTAGCAATATTAAACATGTGTTGTTTAATAAATAGCTTCACTTGCTTATCAATCAATTTTTTTGTTATTAACATAAGGCATTGCTTATCGATTGCGGATTTTAACAGATGTTCTTGGTGGCGGTTATATTCAAACTGAATCCTCATTCGCTGACTTTCTTATATTTATAGCTGAGAGTCGAGTCAGTTGCCGGCAATGATCTAATTTTTATTTTTATTTGGATTGAGCTGACTATTGTGAGCATGAGTACTTAAACTCATTTTGGTAGTTTTCGTGTTGATCGCTGTTATTAGCAGGGCATATATTAAATATGTTAGTGGCTCTGTTATGTTATTCATTCGATGGTGTACTCTCTTTGGCGTGCGATCGACAGTTCTCTCATTTACTGTTAATGTTGTTGTACGTACACATGTTTGCGGACGGCGAAAGAAATTCAAAATTTACGAGTTTTAACTTTTAGACTTAGTTTGTGCGGAAGCAGTGTGCATTAGCGCAATAAATGCCATTTAAATTCGTTTTTTAAAAGAAAATTACCAGCAGCGTGCAAAATCAAAAAGAAATATTTTTATTGTGGCGACAAAACGATCGCAAAAGAAGACGCGCAAGCAAATAAACAAATTTGCGGCCGTCATCTCGTCGCGTGTGTAAGTGTATGTATGTATGATTGTATTCGTTGCGTGTGATTCAATTGTTTAAGCAAACAGCAACAGTCGCTGGGCAATTTTTTAAAACCATTTAATTGCATTAACAACAACAGTAACCAGCCAACATCGAAGTGAGCAGCGGCCCAAAAAAAATTAAAGAAAGGAAAAAATGCCGCCAAATGACGCGACGTTATAAAATAGCCATTCAACAGTAATTCAAATAAATACAAATAATAATATGTACAAAACCGAAATCAGTTAAATTTGCTTTTTGTGTCAGTTTCGGTCACACAGTTTTGTTTGATGTTTGATTGAAAAAAATTCGTGCATTTGTTCTCGTCTTGTCTTTTACGTTTTGTTTTATTTTAAAGCTTTTCGTGTATCCTTTTATCATACGATTCGCGCGTGGTTTGTGCTGTCCTCATCTGGTCACACTCATCTGTCTGTCCTCAAATCGATGTTAACGAAGAAGCAAAAGTAGCAGAGTGAACACGCGCGTAATTTTCACACCCTCACCCCATCCCTTTCCCTTTTAGTGACATATTTCGCATTCTTATTGCATTCCACGTGTGTTTCGTGTTTTTGTTCGTTCTGTCTCGTACCGTATCATATCGTAAGTGTTTGCCGGCGTCGAAATCAATTTTTTGGTAATGCCTCCATTGGTGTAATTCCTGCCATTTCCCCCTTTTTTAGTGATCCATTGTAAAATTTTCTACGTTTCGTTATATTGGACGTGCTAAAAAGTTAATGTGATAAAGACAAAAATCTAAAAAGAATTACAAAATATCTGGCCTCTAATTTAAAGGCATCGAAATAGACAACGAGAACATCAACATTTGAACCGCCGTTTTGTAAGTTTATTGCATTAATTTTGTTTTTAATTTTTACTTTATTTTTATTAATGTCAACATTTTTCTTATCACTGCTGTCTCATCTCATCTATTTTGCCTAATAATACATGCATTCAAATGCGTACCTAAACATAACTTCATGTTTGTATATATGCACACAATTATGCACTACACACACATTCACACATATATATATATATATTTATATATACATATACAAGTATAATACCTGTTGCCTCTTGTCTTTTACCACGTCCGTCAGTCTATCTCGCTTGCACATGATAGCATATTTGAACATTCATTGTCAACGGTTATTTCATGATTGCGCTTCGTTGTCTTCATTTTACCTCTTGCCTTGTTAATTTGTTTTGTTGTTGCTGCTCGCAGTTACATGCAAGCATATACAATCCTATGGATATGTGTATGTTTGCATGTATTTTCTTATTGTACATTCCAACCACCATTTCATTTTGGCTTACCTCACTTCACCTTGGCTCAGCTCAGCTCAGCTCATCTTTAATCGTATTTCGGCTGCGCTGTGCCCTTATTGGCAACGCTGCTTTTAACGCTGCTGCTACTCTGTTTATGATTTTTGCCTCTCTGGCAGCGCTGTCGTTTTCATTTGCTCAATTTCATGGCCAGCGCTTCCTTTTTGCATAATTTCGCTGACTCATCGCAGCGCTGAGCACAACGCTCAAAACATTCTTTTTTTTGCTTTCTTGTTTTTGTTTTTGTTTGGTTTTGGTTTGGTAGTACTTTGTTTGTGCTTCTCAGTCGCGTTTTGGTTTTGACCACAGGTATACTACATACAAGTACACACAATAAGTTGATTGTGTTGGTGCTTTTCGTTGCGTTGACAGTCAGTTTAACATTTTCGCTTATGCGTAATGGAGCTTTTGTCAGTGTCAGCTTTTAACGTCCTAACCTTAAAATTTGAATTTGATCAATGAGTTTTCCATTGCTTCATAACGAGCAAATGCGATTTAATTTCTCTTTTCGAAAAAAAACACTTAACCATTTAAAACATTGAAAAATTGCATTTCAACATGTTTTCTTAACAATTAATTTATATTAATATTTTTAAGATCTGTTTTTAAACACATACACACACATACACTATATAGTTACACACATGGTGCAACGAGAGCCGTTATTTTTTTAGCGCTCATTTAACCCACCTATGCAGCTGTATTGCCCAGCTATAATAACAAGAACAACAACAAGAGAAAAATTAACTACTCAGCGTCGCGTAATTTGCAAACAAAAGTCATTAAAATATCAAATTAGCGTCTGGCGTTGAGATTTAGTCAAGTTTCCCAATGATGATGTTGACGCCAGTTGTGCCTCGATGACTGTAAACTGAACGACTGACTATGAAATAACTGAGAATGTCTGGAAACGTATGTATGCACGTCTATCTGAGTGTTTGTGTCTAGGTGTGTGTGTCTGGGTGTGTGGTGTGTGTGTTTGTGTAGAAAAATGGAAAGTAAACGCAATGTGGCACCCGCATAAGCTCAATTTGCTGATTATACTTTACTTGTGTATATATTTATAGATGTATATATAGTATATATATATAAAATGTTAATAACATTTTTATAAAGTTTGAAGATATAAAAGTAATTTCTACATAAAATGTCCAAAACTAAATAAAATCAAAAAGCTTTACGAGCAGTATAAAGACGCGTGGTAGTTCTTATCACTATTCTTTATCTTAATATAGTTCAGAAATAATAAAGCCTTTTTACCTAATACATTAGCAGAAGTATTTGCTTCGATATCCATTCACAACCAAAAACAAATACATATTATTTAATCAAAATATATAATTAACAGCTGATACGAAATTGTGTCTGTTAAATTGACGCTTCGTAAGTATCCTTCTGTTTTCTACATTCTTTTATCATAAACTTTTGGAGTTCTATTTCATCATGTCTAGTGATGCATGAAATCACATTAAATCGGGGAAAGTCCTTCAAGGGAATTGCTTAAGAATATATAATTTTTATTAGAATTCAATTGAGTTAGAAATAATGCAAATTGATATTCTGCTGAAAGCGCATTAAACATTCGCCAACCCAAATTTGATTTTTTATCATTATTTTTGCTTATCGGTAAAAAAGTTACCGATAACAGAACTGACATGTGTGTACAGTGCGCTCGTCTTCGTTGTCTAGGCAGGTGGGCGAAGAGGCAGACGGGGAGTTATTTTTGCTGTTTTTGCAGTTAATTGAATCAAGCGGGACAGACGTAGAAAGTCAGAGGGAGATAGATAGGGAGAGAAACACGTTTTACCTGGGTTGAGTCACACTTGAGTTGAATTGAGTTGAAGGAACCCATTGGACACGGGCTGCAATAATCACTACTGCCGGCGAACAACATAAGACATAAACAAATAGCAACAACTACAACAAATTCAGCAACATCACAATTGCATTGAAATCATTTAAAAGCTAATTTATGTTGGCTACAATAAGTGTGCTTACTTCGTAAAACTCGTAGATGACTTATCGATTGAACGATCTCACTCAAAATGCGGCCACACATCTCTTTGCTCTATATTTGGCCACACTCATAAAACACAGGCACAATGAGTATCGAAAGTTACCGACTAGCCAATACCCTGTGCTGTTGTCTTATTTATATATACTATAGTCTCTCCAGTTGTCCGTGTTTCACTATTTTCAAAATCCTTTGACTTAGTTGATTCAGTTTACCGAAGATAAATGTGTATTGAGGTTATTTTTACATGCATTAACACGAGGTCATTACTACCCATTTAAAGCGGTTACTGGGTAAATTGTAAATTGTATCTATATCTGCGAAAAAGTTCTGTGTGAAATACGCTTGCGCGACGACAATCGCTCGACTTACCCCTCTCACAAGTTCTACGCGAACGAACGCGTTTAATAAATTATCAGGTTGAATGCCCAGTTTCGAAATTTGACCTTGGGTACAAATTTCGGGTCTCGGGGCTCTACTCTATATGTATTACGAGTATGTATACAGTTTGTACGTGTCTCCTAAGTGTGTGTGTACGTATATCTTATGATTGCTGACTGCGTGTATGTCTTCTTAGCTTGTAGTTTCTTTGAGCTTTGATGCGTTACGACTGTCGCCTGGCCACAGTCTGCTGCTCATGACTGGGAAGCGGCAAGTGCGTAAGTCTTGGGCTTCGGTTAATTAGCGCATCCATACAAATTAACTAACGCACATGCGTAACTTATAGATAAATATATAGAGATACAGATACATAAATTCAAGCAACATGCGGCGCGATGTGATTTTCGTTTGCAAATGATTAATGTTTTGGTCATTCTTTTTTTTCTTTTTTTTACTTTTTGGCTCTAATGTCTGAAATAAATTGGCCTTGCTCTTGGTAGGCAGCCAATTGCAAACCGGTTTTACCATCAAATTTAATGAGAGTTGAGAAGCGGGCAGAGGTAGACATAGAGAGAGAGAGAGACAATCATTATCCAATGCCTCCATATATGTGTGTATACCAACTATATATATGTATGACTATTAGAAAATCAACTAAGCTTGTTACCAAGTTATGAAATATATGAAAAATATCACACTGTTGCAAAAGCTGATCTAAGCAGAATTTTGTTATTTATGGTTACATTTCATTCATGCTAAAACATTTTTTTTATAGGCATTATCATATAAAGGTGTACAACCTCTTAAGCTATATAAACTCTGGATTAGAGTGGCTGGCATGTCCGTCTCTTTGTGTATCAAGGTCGATCTCAGACTCAATTAGAGCTAGATAACTTTTACCAACTATTAATATAAGAGCACTGTTGGCGACTATAATAAAAATAGTTATAAATCATAAACCAAGTTTTAATGGTGATCGGAATCACCATAAACATTGCTTGAGCATTTTCAACTCAAGCAGTTTTAAAAAAATATTTTATTGATTTTAGATTTCTTCTGTTTATTTTTGTTGGCTTCACGCATTGGTCGTAAAACATAAAAGCTAATCAGCTAGCGCTGTTGGATTTTCAAAAAGAACTGTGAATAATCATAACACACATGCACAGCATCTGTCTGCATAAATATTTATTGATAATTGACATGATCGATCACTCAATATGCTGGGGCAAAGGCAGTTTGGGAAAGTGTTAATGCTTGGCGCGTTGATGAGCCAATTTGTTGAGCTGTTGAAATATGCTAATGAGACATGTCCTGCTGCTGCAGCTGTGTAGTCGATGATGTGGCCTGTCACATTGGGCGTCATTTTGTGGCTAGAAATATGTGGCGTTACGTTTTGGCTAATTTGTATGATAAACACATTTAGTCAGCTAGCTGAAGGTGGATGGTGGCGAGGTGGCAAGCTGGGAAGAAGGGGAGTTGGCTCCCCCAAGCAGACTGTTGCTTTGGTCAGCGCGTTAAGGTCTTTTCGTCTCACCTATTGGAATTGCCGTGTGCTGCTTTTATCACCACGCACGTAAATGTCAAACATAAGCCCCGCGGCCTTAAAATATCACAAGGAATTTCTGTTCGCTTCACTCTGTGTATGTGCTTGTGTGTTTGATTGATAAGAAAACGATGCGACAGCTGTTTGGAAAATGCCGGCTAACTGTTTCAAATACCCTTGTTGATACACTCTATGTGGGGTATATTTATGTTTCTGTTAAGTATTGTCAGAAGACTCGCTGAAGGCATTTTCTGTTTATAGTTTGGGCAGTTTATTTTCGTCGTTCCAGTTTGAAAATGTATTTTCAATATACTAAAAACAGAATATAGTATATTAGATCTATAAATACATTCTCTAAAAAACTGAAATTGTGCTGCTAAAAAGAGATAAATTGTGAGTTAAGAGTATATTGGTTTCGGCTTTCACCTATTTGCTCTTGCCAACTTAATTTTTTCTTTATTTGTCTGTTCGGTCTAACCCAAAAAGGGGTTGTATAGAGCCCAGCAGAATAATCTGAATGTGTAATTAGGGTTGCATTTGTCGGGTTTCCCAGAGCTTGTGTCGACGAAGAAGA